TAATTTGGTAGGAATAACTCAATTCTGTATATTTGATACCCTAATATTGACATCTGACAATGACCATTACACTATATATTTTGCTACACAATTGCGTCAATTTCTGTGTAATTTGTGTGTAGGAAAATACACACCGAGTAATAAATTAAAAATCATTATAATAATCAGCATATAGTTACGATCCCTGCCCATGCCACCCATGATTAAAAAGAGGGAAAACAAGCTAGTTTTAGCAGATACCATTCTGTGAATTTTGGATTAAATTTAATATTATTTGTTATTTGTTATTATTTGTAAAGATTTGGGACAAGGAGAATAGGTCTATGGCCCTTAATAATTAATGATTTCTTCCATGGGTTGGAGGCTGAAGACGTTCTTTAATTTCACCATCTCAACAAGTAGTAGGCTAGTAGCACGAAATTTATAGAGAAAGGATTGCTCTCATTGAATTAGGGTGTAAAACAACTATTTTTTACTTTATATATGAATCTATATGATGACTCTAAAATGCTAGAACTACTTGTCACAGATTGTCCTTAAAAACACATGTCCTTGAAATGTCTTTGAAAAAATAATTCACACTTGTGGGAACCATGTACTGAGTACCTAGCAGTAATAATGAATAATATAGAATCAACCATCACGAAAAAACAAGAAAACACAATACCTTTTCATTCGATATCTGGTATTCTATCTATTTCTATCTATCTATATCTGATATGTCTAGTATCTATTTATATGGTACTTTAATCTATATACTCCCTTCCCCTCAGTATTTCCCTCCCCCTCTCGCGGATAGTATCGCCCACGGCATCAGTTGCACGGTGAAAAGTTAGCCAGGCAAATGGCCGGTTTTCAGTCTAAACTTTTCACCCCCCCAAAGCACAAAATGTGATAATACGGCTATAATACGCGTTTTTACAGTCACACAAACACACATACACACACACTAACGGACGCCCACACGCGGGTATGGTCGCACGCACGCGTGCGCGTGTATTATAGGCGTAAATTCACATTTTGTGCCTCGGGGAGTGAAAAAGTTTGAGCCGAAATGCAGCGAATTTCCTTCAAAAGTTTTTTAACGCTTGACTGGTCATGGGCGATACCATCCACGAGAGGGGAGTAAGGAAGTGCTAAGTGCAAACTGCATGCAGCGCCCCCTTCGTACAACTCATGATACGAAATTGAGCCAGAGCGAGATCGCCATCTGTTGGGGAGTTTGAAGGAAGTGCAGAAGAATAAACGGAGAAAGGCGAGTATATATATATATATATATATATATATATATATACGACGTGTTCCGGGATTCCTTTACAGACAGATGGAGCGTCCGCATGCCTGCTCATGTCGGAGGAGAAAGCTCTGGCCATGGGCCTGAAGCCGAAGGCTTACCTGAGAGACTACGTCTTTGTGTCTCAGGATCCAAAGGATCAGCTTCTTCTCGGGTTTGTGAATGTTTCGTAAGATGTTGTATGTTGAAAATCTATTTATATGGTACTTTAATCTATATACTCCCTTCCCCTCAGTATTTCCCTCCCCCTCTCGCGGATAGTATCGCCCACGGCATCAGTTGCACCGTGAAATGTTAGCCAGGCAAATGGCTGGTTTTCAGTCTGAACTTTTTCACCCCCCCAAAGCACAAAAAGTGGATTTACGGCTATAATACGCGTTTTTACAGTCACAAAAACACACATACACACCCACTAACGAATGCGCACACTCGGGTATGGTCGCACGCACGCGTGCGCGTGTATTATAGGCGTAAATTCACATTTTGTGCCTCGGGGAGTGAAAAAGTTCGAGCCGAAATGCAGCGAATTTCCTTCAAAAGTTTTTTAACGCTTGACTGGTCATGGGCGATACCATCCGCGAGAGGGGAGTAAGGAAGTGCTAAGTGCAAACTGCATGCAGCGACCCCTTCGTACCAAGGAGCTACTCCTTGCTTCGTACTGGTACAACTTATGACACGAAATTGAGCGAGATCGCCATCTGTCGTGGAGTTTGAAGGAAGTGCAGAAGAAGAAACGGAGAGAGGCGAGTATATATATATATAATATTTATATACATATGTGTAGGCCTATGTATATAGTGCCAGAGAAAGAGAAAAATTGCGCGAGAGAGATACATAGAGAGTGAGAAAGTGTGTGTGTATGTGCGTGCGTGCGTGCGTGCGTGAAGAGAAATATTGCGATAGTGATAGTGTGCGTGCGTGCGTGCGTGTGTGTGTATGTACGTATATGCTGACGTTTTTTGTATATTTTTCCTTCATCTTGTATAGCACTATTTTGTACTGTATCACTTAGAAATATTATTATTTTAACTGCTCAACACTATTGCATTCATCTGATTTTTTCTCCATGAAAAAGACTTGTGTGTGAAAAAGGGGTGTCTTCAGTACATGTACTTGTATTTGAATTACATGCAATAAAGATTTAATAATAATAATAACATATCAAAGATACATTTCATGATGCTTTCCATACATTTTTGCAACGAGAGCAGACAATGAGCCAAACATAACAATAACGAGGAAACTATTACTGAATCCGAATCTTTTATTTCAGTCATCATCATTGGACACATTGCCGCTGCTTCCCCATCGAGCATCTTGCAGACCGTAGCAAAACAACGACACGAAAAACAAACAAGTGAACATTCATTCTAGTAATGCGGCAGTACAATAAAATAGAATCACACCCCCGGAGATGTGGTGCGCCGCCGACCGAGCATCCGCAGCCTCGCGACTTTTAGGACGGCTGCTCGGTCGACGCCGCTCACAACACGCATCGTCCCTCGTCACAACCACCTTTATAAACCGTATATAAACGCACCATTACAACCGTGCCTGTGTGCACCGTCATACACCCCACCAGCAGCAGCAGCAGGCGACAATCCTCTCTATCTCTCTCTCTGTCTCTTATCGCCCCCCCCCTGCGGTGGGATTTCACGTGCAGCGCACACAACAACAAAGAACTGGACAAATCTATATTGATAAAAAAAAACCTTCACAACTGCTACGGTAATTAAATGACGAGGCATGCGATGGAAAGCAGTCGTCGCCACCAGCGTAAACGAAGCGTCGACACGTGTTCACCTGCAATCGATATTAGCTGCTGTATTTACAGGTGATAGGCCATCCGTTAGGGGGCAGCACTGTACCAACAATACACACACATGTACGTAAGCAAGTGGACTATCAATACTTTCGCCAACAGCTTTTTCTTTTTTCTTTTTTTCAAAATAATGTCCGTCATCTTGCTTCGGTGTGGTAAATAGATCCACGAAACTCAAAAATGATAAACAATAAAAAAAGTAGCAAAATGTACATACTTGCTCGACCATACGCGGTCAGAAACAAATTGACGTATGTCATAAAAAGTATTTAATACCATTTGCAACTAGCTAAACTACCAAACACCCGCATTCCTAGCTGAGAACACCCCGCTCTACAAATTTCAATATGCTTCTGCAAAAAGCTAAAAAGCTGATTTGAGCAGTACCTGCTAATAAAAACGATTTCCATATTGTCCACATTATAAATCTAAAGTATTTGTCTTCAACATATAGACCTATCCTCTACCATTTCACAACCATGATGAATGAAGAACAGAGATAACAGTCTAGAAGGACTCACCCCAGCTTCATGGATACACATACAAACTCGTCTCCTCAGCACTCGTCTAAAATACATCGACATACTATTCTTAAAGCCCGACGAGTTCTTTCGAATCAACAGCAGCACTATTAGAACAATAACAGCAACAGCGTCAATGTGATTGGTCCTCGAAAAAAAGCTTGCATAAACCCTCTGCCGTAACAATACAATCAAGAATACGTGGAATGACTTGTCATCTAGAACATGATTTCTATATACTGTGGTAATACACATGGTTAGCAGATGCCCTAAATACGAAAAAGCATATTGCAATAGCAATGTTCCCAAAGGTCTGACGAAATATCTTTCCGTTTGGTTACGCTTTGCCTCTATGACTATCTTTATGCGGCCAAACGATTCTCTCTCGTGCATGCAGTGCTCTCGACAAGTAAGTTTTCTGCTGCAATGCATGAGAGGGAAGGTTTTATCCTTCCTGTCGTGCTACAATGCTCACAGGCACACGACGCGACATGCGGTAACAGCAAGCTATCGTCTCCTACGTACGTACTTGCTCCTATAGAACTTAGAGAGTTATATATCACTCGTTTTATCACGCAAAGTCGAATAGCTCGCCCAGTCTCGTGTGCCTGCGGCATTCATGCCTCTAATAATATACGATTGCGACTGCCTAAAATTTAAAAGACTATTATATCTACAAAAAGAAATAGGAGCAGATTTTGCCTTGTGAACCAAACTTCCCTTCGATATCGCACATATTCAATCGTTTAATTCGCTCGAAAATCTACGCCGGGAACTCCAGGAGAGGGTTATTTCCCCCTGCATCACCTTCCCCCGCTGCAGCAGAGACACGAGAAGAGCTGCTCGCGTCTCCGCCCGCCCCTCCTCGCCCGTTAGAATCTCCGTCAGCGCGGCAAGAAAATTATACGAGCAAGCGTTCCGAAGCTTCGCGACGACGAAGGGAGGCGAGCGAGTTCGCGAGCAGCATCTTCTTCGCATCTTCCCGTTCGTGCGATCCTCAGCCTCCTCCTCCTCATCCTCCTCAGCCTCTCCGTGTGTGCAAGACGTGAATCGCTGCTCGGGGTACCAATCAGTTGACGCGGCTCTATGAAGCGGCTGATGCTGTTGGCCGTGATGACAGCGGCGGCAATGATGACGATGGCAGTGTGCTCGTAGTAAAAAAACAACGCACGAGCAAAACGTTCGACACTGTGTTCGGTACCTGTAAAACAAACAAAAATATATTCAACACTGTATCAGCACCTTAGGTAAAAAACACATAAAACTAGACGAAACAATCCAGAGACACTCACGACGATACACATGCACACAGACGTTTCCACGTAACTCTCCATTCGTAATTAGACATGAGTGTGCATGCGTGCGTAGCTACTGCTAGTAAAATTGAGATTCGGGGTGTACAGCGATGTGTCGTTTGTTGTTCTGCGCATGTGTGCGCGCGCGTGCACGCCCGTTTTCGCGACTGACGTCGGCTAGTGTAGAGGTGCACTCACCGTCGTGTCGTCGCGTGCGTGCGGCGTACGTCCCTCTCTACACCGTAGTGTCCTTGCTGCCCCCATCCTCAACCGGCTCAGACTCCTGCCTGATCTCGATCTTCTGAACGGTCATGTCCGGGTTCATCTCCGTCGCCTCACGAATGGCTTCAGCAAGCGCCTGCAGCCGAGAGACGCGTTAACGATAAAGTCAAGCTTTGATACCAAAATTCTATCAATTTCTTTCACCAAAATTTAGAAGAGTTATTAATTTTGATAGCTGCTACCGTATGCCACCTCTGAACCTACTTATACCTCCACGTGTAAGCTATACAATACATACGAGCGTACGTGATCTACGCCAGGCTGCTTCAACCGCATGACAATCTACGCGTCACCAGCACCTCACCCACCCACATCTCACCCTCCCCCTCCACACCCCGCCCCACCCCTCCCCCGTCGTACCTCGTCGTGGTCGATGGGCACGCCTCCGTCGTTGCTGATGGTGATTCTCTGCTCCACGCGCGTTTCCACCACCCCGTCCGTCTCCGTCTTGTACTGCGGGGGCGGCGAACGCAAAACACAAACATCGGTTAGTCTCCTCGTCACACACAACACATACACGCGCGCGCGTGAGAGAGGCGTCGCCGCCGCCAGACGACGACTTACAGGTTTACACTGTCGTGGAGGAGTGCTATGCAAACACTATAAACATCTAAAACCATAACGACGTCCATAAATGTTATCAGCTTCGATTAGAGTGAGCACGACGACACGAAAACGGCTCTTGTAATGCGCTCAAGTCAAACTCTCATACTATTATAACTCTCACATCACAGTACAACATCATATTATACAATCCACGAGGTGCAGGTGTTTTGTTTGGAGGCAATCCGTGATCGAAATATTCCCAGACACACACAGTGAGCATTTGCTTACACACGTGCAGTAACATGCATGGTTACACTGAAAGCAAGAAATCATGTACCATCGTCATACGTGCACGCAATATGCAAAGGAAACGAAATTATTAAAAGGTTAATAATAATATAATATAGTCACCTTAGAACCAGGCATCCGAACACATGCAGATTCAATATTAGTTTTCTATGTAAATATGGTGAAAATCACTAGAAATTACAACATGCAAGTCAGTCACTTATAAACCTACGCATTGAACAAGCTTTTATTAAATACAGATTCAACCTTTTCGCACCACGCTACACATGCACGTAAAATCAGTGAGTAAGTGAATTGATGTTAAAGAGGTCCTCCATCCACCCCCAAAATAAGAGCATTCAGTAAAGATCCGATGATAGTCACGAATGTGCGTTATATATTAGTGAAGCAGATAGAGAGATCGGATGCAACCTCCAGCTGCGCTGGTAGTGCGATTATTTCGTCAGCATCTACTAAGTCGAGCCATGTTAGAGGCAGTCGTTTGACCGAGTGCCAGCGAACTTGCATGCAGAAAACCGCCAACGACGCTCCAACGTGAAAATCAAGAGAGATGCGGTAAGAGAGACGCCGCGCCCCACGACGACGCGGCGTGCCAGGCAGCGAGGAAAAAGAACAGAAGCAGTGCGACGACGGCGAGAAGAGCTATCGCTACGCGCGAGGTGCACGGCGCGGGACGACGTCGCCGTGACGACGACGACTCTCCGCCTGGCGGCGGCGGCGCGCGAGTGGCGCCCCCACTTACGGTCACGGTCTCCACCGTCTTGCTGCGACTCGACACTATCTGCGAGCCGACGAGCTCGATGACGTTCTCGTCGTCGTTCTTGGCGCCCTCTGTCTCGTAGCGCACCGTGCGCGTCTCCGTGGCGACCGTGGGAACGGTGCGCGTGACGTTTACCTCCTCCTCAACGTTCGGATCGTATTTTACGCTTTCCGTCTGCACCGTCGGCGGTTGCTACGGCGACAAACGAAAGCGGTTCAGCACCGTGCGTGCGAACCGGCGGCGAGACGGTGTCGTTATCAGGGGGCGAGGAAGGTCAAAGGTCAGGGGCGAGGAAGGAAGGGAGGCTGAGAAGTCTAAGGAACGACACGAGGAGTTTAGGACGTGAATCTCGGCTTCACAGACGAATGATGAAACCGAGAGAGAGGAGGGAGAACGAGGGAGGGGTAATGGCCACAACATAGAACACGAGACGAATAACACCGAAGAGGGACTAAATTCGCAACAACGAAAGCTCGTAGACAGATATCGTATACGCTTAACGTCAACCCGTAAAACATGTCACACGTTACAACAACAAATTCACAACTATTCACAACGAACGACCGTAAGTACACCACCACCGGGTAAAATGGAAACAGAGAAGCATCTATAGTAACAGTAAACAGCCATTGTAGCAACGCTCCCACCCCACCCCATCCTCCCCTGTCTCCCCTGTCCACTACACCATAGCTAGGCAAGCAGTCTAGCTTTCCTAGTCAGCAGGCATTACTGAAAAAAGGCATTATTGATTACTGGAAAAAAAAGGCAAATGGATATCGCAAATAAACATCAACAAACGTTGCCGCCATCCACGGCAACGACTCACCGGCAGCGGACCGCATACCACCTGCGCATGCTCGAATCTACGGACTACGCCAAGGCACCGTGCGACCACCGAGCACCGTTGACGCTAGCAACAACATCTCATCACTGCCGCCGCCGCTGTCGTCAATACTACAGCTGCTACTGATCGCTCGCAATCGTAGCTTCCACCAAATTTCGAGAGTTGGCGCGACGGGGGAGAGATACGAAAGAGTCGACGCAGTTTTCCGCCCGATCGATCGGTTGAGCAGGCGAGGGAGAGAATAACACAGGCGACGGCAGCGAGAGAAGCGGCGCGGCGCAAAACCCCGGTCGGCGAGCGAGCGCGGGGGATGAACATCAAGCGAGCGCGGGGGATGAACATCAAGCGAGCGCGGGGGATGAATATCAAGCGAGCGCCGAGATGTAAACTCAAAGCGAGGCGCGGATGACACATCAAGCGAGACGCGGGATGAATCAAGCGAGAGCGGCCGGTGAATATCGGCAGCGCGGTATGAATATCAAAGCGAGCGCGGAGGATGAACATCAAAGCGAGCGCCATAGGATGAAATAAATCGAGCAGAGCGAGGGATAGAATATCGACAGAGGCGGGCGGGGGATGAATATTCAGCGAGCGCGGGATGAAACTCAAGGCTAGCAACCAGCGGAATGAAATATCAAGTCGAGCGAGCGGGGATGAATATCACGAGCCGCGAGGATAGAACACGCAAGCGAGCGGCCGGGGAATGAATAATCGAGCAGCGCGGGGATGAAATTCGAGCGAGCGCGGGGATGAACATCAACGCGAGCGCGGGGAGTGAAATATCAAGCGAGCGTGGGATGAAATATCAAGCAGAGCACACACCACCACCACAGGGGGATGAACTGCAAGCGAGCGAGGGGTGATAGAACATCAAGGCGAGCGCGGGGATGAACAAATAGCAAGCGATGCGGCGGGGGTATGAAATACAGCGAGCGCGAGAATGAATATCAAGCCGACGCGGCGGGGCGATGAATATCAATCGAGCGCGAGGATATGAATATTCAAGCGAGCAGGCAGGGATGAACTAGCATAGCGAGCAGCGGGATGAAACATCAAAAGCGAGCGCGGGGATAAGCAACCCAGCGAGCGCAGGGGATGAATAATCAAGCGAAGCGCGGGGATGAACATCAAGCGAGCAGCGCAGGGGGATTCACATCAAGCCGACGCGCGGGGATGAACATCAGTCGAGCGCAGGGGAGGAACATCAACGGCGAGCGAGGCAGGGGGACTGAACATCAGCGCAGCAAGGCGGCGGATGAACTATCAAAGCGAGACGGCGGGGATGAACATGCAGCGGCGCGGGGATAACATTCAGGCGAGCGCGGGGATGAACAATCAAGCGAGCGCGGTGATGAAACACAGCTTAGCGCGGGCATAACATGCAAAGGCGAGCGGCGGGGATGAACATCAGCGAGCGGCGGGGATGAACATCAAGCGAGGCGGCGGGATGAACACAAGCGAGCGGGGCGCATGCATGCGTGGCAGGGGGGAAACACGGACACGCCGCCACCATGCGCTGCAAGAGAGAAAGACTCGCCGCGCGGCGTGGCGCGTTAACACTGCCGCCTGCACCTCTGCCGCTCCCGCGCCGCCGCCGCAAAACCTTCAGCCAGCGACAAATTTTGAACAGCTCGCGTCGCCGTAACGACGTCGGCGTGGCGTGCGGCGGCGGCGCGTGAGCGCGGCAGATAGCTGTACCGCGTCGCCTGCGCCTGCGGCCCGCGGGGACGCCGCTCCCCCGCCCGTCGTCTTCGTCATCACCGGATCGCGGGTCGTGGTCCTGTACGTGCGCGTCACCACCGTTCGCTTCACCTCTCCGGGCGCCCCCTCCGCCGACGCTTCGCCAGACCCCGCCGCCGCCTCGCTAGAGCCCGCCGACTCTGGCCTCGCCACCGGTGGCGCCGCCGTAGCCTTATCGCCGGCCTGCGGAGCCTGTGAAAAACGCTGACGTCGTCAGACTAGAAGGAGCAATGCTAGCTAGACACGGGAAGTGTGTTCGTAGGCGCGAGGGCATTGCCACAGGCTGTGTGCCTGCACGTTCTCGAAGTGGCAAGCGACGTGTCTAAAGGAGAAAGTAGAAGCATTAAAACCTAATGTGACGACTAACGTGATGGCACCACTGCATGATCTGCAATTGAAATACCACACTAACAGTTATGCGCTTCCTTAGGCTGTGCTTTGCTGCACAAAAAGGTGGATGACATTAGACTGGTAACACGGATCTGTTCCCTTGTATCTAGATCTCGTGTGTAGCACTCACACAGCTCATGTGAGATCTTGTGAGGAGATCCGCCCATCTACCTCTCTATTCCACCCCCTATAATCCACCCTCCCCCCACCTATCTATACTCCACCCCCCTATATATCGATCCTGTCTACCCAATTCATCCACCTTCCTCCTGCCACCTCCACCTCCTATCTACCCCATCTATCCTCCACCCACCCACCACATCCCACACCCAACCACCCACCCACCCTCCAAAGACACCATCGCAACCCCAACGTTATTTACATGGCTGTTAAAAAACAAACACGCGCACACACACACTATGAGTATACAGCTATTGCCAACACGCTAAACATTAACGCGACACACACACACACACGGAAGCACGCACGCGCGCGCCGCCACCACCAACACAACGGCGCGCCGCCGCCACCAGCACAACGGCGCGCTACGGCACTAAAACGGGGGAAAAGATCGGCTTTTCAACGACAGCAACAAACGACTCGAGAATCCCACGGTCATCACGAGGCGTGTCTCGCTCGAATGCCGTCCGTCACACACGAGTCGCATCACGCACGCACGCACGACATGCACAGGTTTTGCACCAAATGTTCTTCCGATATGGCGGCCGCTGCAAATCGCTGCGTTCGCCGAAACGCTCGCGCGGTTTGTTAGCATTGTGCGGATTGTTGACACGGACTTTGTCACCCCGAGCGGAGGCGATCTCTGAGAGATAAACCTTGGTTCGGGGGCGGCCGAGTTTGCGCCTCATCCCGCGGAAGAACACGTGGTTTGAACGACGCGGGGTCGCCGCGGAAATTCTCCAGGCACCGAAAAACAACGAGGCTCTACATACACCAGCGCGCATCGCTGAGATGTGCAACACGGAGTGGCGTATGTACACTCCCCCCCCGCCCAACAATCTCCCACCCCCGTCTCTTAGTCACTCGTTTTAGTACATGCATGTGCAATGAGTTTATTGCACGGTTATTCCTAATCGCAGGCAATAAATCGCAGATGTAAACACTCGTATTTGCGCAGCACTCGACGGGACTACGAGGCAAACGTCGCTTACTCCTTTATTGCTTTCACGTTCGGTGCGTGGAGAGAGTTTCAGCGAAAACCCCGACGTCGCAATAGACACAGAAAAGCGTTGTCATAGCAGATTACAGGGCGCAGAAGAGAACAACACGATGGCGAGGGCTAGGTAACCCCCACACGAGACACACGTACAATAGAGAGACAGTTCTACCACCAGCACTAGACTATAGAACAACACAAGCATACGCACGACAGCCGACATGAGAAACGACGATTCTACCAGAATGTCGTTCCCTTGTGTCATATATAACACACGTTCACAACATTCTGTATACTTCTACGACAAAGAAATATAGCTATCGAAATCATCGTTGTAATTAAATCAACTTTGAATCAGAGGGAAGGGAAGAGATGCAAGCACAGGTCGTAGGCAAAGGTCTAACTTGAGTTAGGACGCTGTCTAAAATTACAAGGAATGACAAACGTGGTGACATTATAAAGACACACTCACATACCTCAGACACACTCACAGCTAGCAGTAAAACATAGCAGGCAAACACATTTCCTTGTAGTCACCACCACCACCACCACCACCACCACCACCACATACCCGACGGATGGTGACAGGATAGTCCAGTAGGAACTTTCATAGAGTTAGGATCGGGCAAAGGCATTCATTCACCGTATAGCAGGAAATATACGAGGACACGTTAATGTTAAACGAATATTAAATCAGCATGCAATGTAACTAAATCTCACATTTAACAGAAACGGAAAGCTTCGACGTAAACGACGGAACTCGAGAATGAAATCGACCGGCACCGCGTCTGTTAGTCGATGTTAAAACTACGATTAATTACTGACATGCCAACATATCAAACAGGTGAGAGGGGGGAGCCGATATGAAAACCAATCTGCTTTGTACAACTTTTTTCTGTGTCTACTGCCTACTCCGTCGCAAGGAAAGAGCATCCGCGCCGCCGGGGCTCCGAATCGGGAGCCCGTCGCCGCGGTAACGGCGGCAGACGATGCTCGTTCCTGGCTGCGGGCTCGCGTTAACGAGGTGCAAAACCTGTACAT